TAGCTGTTCAAATATGAATACTCAATATATTCCTTGATCCAGATGAGCATAACACAACTCAGTCCACCAAGAAAATATTAGAGTGCGTTCGATTTGCGTTTTCGTTTTCTATTTTCAATTTTGAATTAGTTTTTAATTTTCTATTTTGAAGGACCATTTTTCAAATTACGGAAGACATGTTTGGTTTGTCATTTTGAAAAACTGTTTCTCAAAATAGAAAACTAGAAAATATTTTTGGTTTAAAATTTTTAGAAATTGTTTTATAATGTTTATTCAATTAATTTGATTATTAAGTAAAATATAATAATTTTATGCTAATATATCACCAAATAATATATATTTTAAACTATGTGAATTTACTATTTTTTTTTGCTACAAAAATAAAATAATAAATTTATAAATCAAAAATAGGAATCGTTGTAAAAAAAATAGCTAATCCGTCCTTCATCCTTCTGGATATATTTTGCTGTCACTTGGACAGTAAAAAAGGAAATAATAGTTCTTCCAAATTTTGATCAACGAAAAAAAATAATAAAAATTTGTAAAATGTTTTGTGGGTTTTAACATTATTATGCTTCACTATTGTATCAGATTATAACATTTTATTTTAAAAGTACTGCTGAACATTCACTGGGTAAAAAAATGCGTGTTTTGAATGTTTTCCGCATTTTGAATTTTCAGTTATATATTTTTCCTTATTTTCGAAAATACATTTTCGAAAACAATAGACCAAACACATTTTGGGCATTTTCGAAATTGAAAGCAGAAAACGGCTTGAAAACGGAAAACTAAACTCCCCCTTAGCAATCGATTTCATGCTCTATTAACATCATATTCATAGGCCGAAAATAAGCTCAAAATGAACAATTTGCTGAGAAATTTCCGGTCATACTAATTAGTATATGATATTAGCAAAAAGGTGAAATGTTTTAGTGTGTGTCTATATACACATACATACGGAAGTGATTTTCTAAGTATCGGTGTTTAGTTTATGTTAAGCACCGACGATATGACACATTATTTAATTGATGAATAAGTAAATGATAGGTCACATATATTTAATGATTCACCAATTAAATGATGTATCATGTCACCGGTGTTTAGGAGATTATTTCTATATATATAATTGGTGAATAAGTAAACGATAAGTCTCGTGTATTTAATGATTCATCAATTGAATGATGTACCATATTACCGGTGCTTAGGATATCATTCTTATATATATAATTGGTGAATAAGTAAACAGTAGGCCCCATGTATTTAATGATTCATCAATTAAATGCTTAGAAGATCATTCCGATATATATATCTATATCAAAAGTTCCTAATGTTTTGCATAAAACAGAAAATTAACACTTCTCCTGTCCTAACAAAATACGTCATCACACAAATAAAAGTACTAATACATCAGTTCTACCCACACGTATAGGATTGGATTCAATAAATTCTTCTGTCAAATTTCAAGAGACTCTTTTCCCCCTTTCTTTCATCATCTTAATCTCTTATCATATTTTGATATTGAATTGCTAGAAGGCGGCAAATGCAATTGGAGGATAAATCTTTCGTTCTTCAGTAAATCCCAATTTTAAATTCTTTGAGCGCTGCATGCAAAATAAAAATGAAAGAAACCAGAAACTATATACTGATTCTTACTAAAAGAAAAACAACAAAGCAAGTAGAGAAGTGCGAAAAAACAATCATGATCAACCTGTGTAACTGGTTAATTCAAGAGGGAATCCAACAATCATATAAAAGCACAAACAAGGCATTCGTTAGCATCTAACCATGTTTCAGAGAAATTCGCTGATAGTAAGGCACAGTAAGGTAACACACAGAGTTGGACTAGGTGCTAAGGATGGAAAAATACAATATATAGGCTGTATATTTCAACTCTTTCCATTTAACAACATAATTGAAATCAGATTTCAAAGGAACCATTGGCCTCACCATATTACTGTGGCATTCTCCTTCAGTTCAGCATTTGTAGCCTATGATATATTCAAGTGAGTATAACAAAATTCATATTTCACAATCAAGTTCAGAAACTCAGGATGATCAGACATGCCACCCTTTCAGCACATCCATAATGAAGTAAACATGGAATGGTAAGTGGTAACCAAATCAAAAGATAGGCATTGCTCTCGAAATAGTTTTCATACCATCTAGCCACGCAAGGTAAACGATATCTCTGTCTTGCAGTTTCCACACCTTACAACCCTTTGTTTGTCATTTCTCTGGCACTGGTGACGCAGGTTAGACTTGACCTCAGTCCCCAGTCAAATCCCGAACCAAAAAAGGTCAGAATGGAAAAATAAAAAAACAACCTTTAAGTATTAAATATTCAAAAAGAAAATTACGTTCTCATCATAATTCTTTGACCCTGATCTTTGATGAATTCTCTGAGTTATCATTATTGTCTCAAAGTGAATATCTTCCTTCTCCACTAGTTTCTACCTCATCCACTTTCTTCTCCCCTTCTTCTCCGTCCTCTTTCTTCTTCCCATCTTCTCAATCCTCATCATTCAACCCGCTTTCTTCCTCACTTTTTCTTCTGACTTTCCTCTTTCCCATTTTTCTCTTCCACCACTTTCCTCAAATTTTGCACTCTTCCTCTCTCTTTGGACCTCTATTCCGTTTTCCTTTCCTCTTCCTCTTCCTCTTCGGACTCAAAACTATCTTCATTCAGCTGTTCAAGCTTCTTAATTGCCAACTGTTAAGACTTCATCATTGATGCCCTTCAGTTAAAAATACCCCTGTTCCTTTTTCCTCAGCATCACTTGCCCCATTTTTCTATTCCTCTTTTTTCATCCAAATTTCAATTTCCCTTTCCCTTTCCCTTTCCCTTTCCCTTTATCTCCCTTTTTTCTTCCCCTCAGACCTGGCTTCTTCTCTCAGCTTTCAACCTCTTCTTTTTTGTCATTCTCCACACCATCATTTTCTTCAATCTTTCCCATTAACTTCTTGATTTCTCTCTTCCCCATTTGCCAATGCACTCCTTGCAATGCCCTCCTCTGAAAACCTTCCCCCCCGGACATGAGGATGGTTGCTGCTAATTAATCCAAGGATGTTGGTGTAAGTATTATGCCCTAGGTCCAATCAGCTTTGGATATAAATACTTTTATATAATTAATGCAATTAAATGACAGATCTATTATTTAATTAATAGACAATTAAATAAATAATAGAGTCCGTAAATTCAAATATTTGTAATTTGTTAATCACAAGGAGTTGTGATTGTGAGATACAAATTACATCTAATTGAATCTTAAATCATCCGTGATCGTAAGTAATAACGAGATACGGATATCGTTATTACGGATAGACCATCGCGTATGGCATTTCTTACTTGTGAAGTAAGTAGCCGATCTCACTAGTTAAAGTATGGTGACACTTAAATGAACACGTGGATGTTTTGTTATAGAACAAAACATTGGAGACCCGTCGAGAGATTCCACATGGATAACTATCTGAGTATCAGTGGTTAATCTCTAACGTTCGATAGTGGAATTGGTCATTTGATTTGAGGTCATCATGGTACCTTATATGAGGACAATCATACTTTGGCGATATTGGATGTTGCTCTAAAAAGGGCAGCTAATACGACATCGTTCGGGTACGTCAAGAATCGTATGAAGGTTGTGATTGATCAATAAAGGATTCGTCACTTTTAGATAGTAGGAGATTATGATCTGCGTTTCATTCAATTAAGTCGATGATGAAATCATTGGCCAATGTGTGCTCATAAGTCGAAAAAAGAGTTTTCGACTTATATTGACTTAATAGTGGAGTGAAAGATATGATCGATGATCGAGATTGACACAATTCTATATCTCGTAATTGATCAGATCATATTGACGAAGGGATTATAATTTCACGGTAAACGAACGAATTTGGTTTTGTCTTACCACGTGACATTTCCCATCACATGTATTGCCCTGACACATTGCTAGATGTCAAACAGGGACGGCGAGTGTGAATTGACGATAAATTAAAAGGGTGTTTTAATTTATCAATTTTGATTAGATCAAAATAATATTTCACGTCGTTAGGCATCGTGGTCGGGAACCTAATGGGTCGCACACAAAAGAGAATTGGAAGATTGCAAATTGTCAATTGGTTAATTTAACAATTGTTAGATAAATTAATTAATTTGATTTGTTATTTATATTTTCGAATTAATTAATTGAATTAATTAATTCACGGGCCGGGTTTAATTAATTGGATTAATTAAATATTGGACCGGATCGGGCCGAACCCGTTTGGGTTTATATAAATACATAGCTAGGGTTTGAGGTCTAAATGGTTTTTTCATTATTTCTTGCTGGCACAAGAGAAAACCCTAGAAACTGCAATCTTATTCTCTGTGTGAATCACCGTTGGAGGCTGGACAATTGGACAGCTGTGGTGGCGAATCAAGGTTGATGGAACGAAAAGAAAAGCAAAAGGATTGCAGAATTTTTCAAAGGTACAATCCTTATCACAATTTCTATCTAAACACAAAGGCGATTCTTGGTGGGAATGAAAAATTATTTTAAATTCCGCTGTACATGTATAAGTAGATTCCCAACAGTAGGTTGGTTTGTAACACAAAATAATAATAATAATAATAATAAATAAATAAATAAAGAGTTGGGGCCGAGAATGCAATGCGGTTCGAAGCTTGAGAAAGATGACTGTGACTTACCCTAATTATTATAGCTGCATTTCAACAAAGGCCAAATAAGAGACCGCATTGATATCACAAATAGAATCATCATTTTTATATTTCATCTTCTCCAAATTTCATACATCCAATTACGTTAATATGTAGAAAATCTTACACCCACGATCATAATATAAACTACGCTAATATTGCTTCTTCTAATAAATAAATAAATAAATAAAGAGTTGGGGCCGAGAATGCAATGAGGTTCGAAGCTTGAGAAAGATGACTGTGACTTACCCTAATTATTATAGCTGCATTTCAACAAAGGCCAAATAAGAGACCGCATTGATATCACAAATAGAATAATCATTTTTATATTGCATCTTCTCCATATTTCATACATCCAATTACGTTAATATGTAGAAAATCTTACACCCACGATCATAATATAAACTACGCTAACATTGCTTCTTCTATGAAAGAAGCTCAGTTGGACAGTATCAGATTGAGATGATAAAACATGCTATTTGAGATATGATCAAAAGCTCACAGTTTTGAAACAGCCTTATGACTATCATTACAATCAGTATCTCCAACCGTCTCATCGGAACTTAAAGCCGCCATCACATCAGCAAAAACGGTCTTCCTGTTCTCTGCATACACTTTTCCATCCCAATTCCTTTTCGCCAGCTCCATCCCCAGCCTCGCCGCGGCCTCCACTGTCTCCTCCGCGCTATCATGTGCGGAGTCCACAATTCCCCACTCCACCGCCATCTCCGCTTTGATTTTGGCGGCTTTTAAAATCACCTCCCTCCACACCTTTGGGGACGCGATTTTGCTTTTCACTATTTGCATAAACCAAGTAGGTATTTTCATCCGGATGTCGAGCTCGCTCATGTAGAGGAAGCCTCGGTCCTTGCGCATTACGATATAGTCGTGGCTTAGGACTAGAGCGAAGCCCGCAGCGGAAGCGTGGCCGGTGACGGCGGCGATGGTGGGCATAGGAAAGGATATGAACTCGGAGACTAAACACCGCAACTTCTTAGACATCAACTTGGATCGTGTTTGAGCTTGGACTTGGACCGGATCTGGATCTGAAAAAGCCCATGAGAGGTCGTAGCCATTGGAGAAGAACTTGCCCTGGGCGGTAGTGATAAGGGCAGTGGGTCCCATAGACTCCGATTCAATCTTGGCCCGGTGGAGTGCGGCCCGGATGGAGTCGATCAGAATCGGGTTAAGCCGGTGCTCATCATTTCCGGTTATCGTTAGGATAAAGAGACCATCACGTTTCTCAAGAGTACACATCTCTCCTCTCCCTCTCTCACATCCAAAAGACCGAGATAGAGAGGAATAACCTTGGCTGGCTTGCGAATTCAGTTGCGCTACGTACAATTAGAATTGACAATTTCGATTACACATTGGACGAGGTTCGCGTTGTATAAAAAAATCGTGAATCTTTCCTTCTGTGAGTACATTGTCAATCGAAATTGTTAATCCTAATTGTACAAGAAAAATAATTTTTGTGAATTTACGCTGGTATGACAAAATGGGTTATTCCGAAGAATATTTTATCGAAACGATCATGCTAATTCAAACTCAAATTTAAATATGACACATGTTAAAGTATGATTGGACAGTTTGAAAAATTAAAACAAAAACATTCAATCATTTTCTGACACAACATTCTGTATCTTTACTCCTCTGTTTTTAACCCTAAACAAGTGACTTTATTCCAATTGAAAAACAAATCTCAACTTGACAAAATGGACATAGCCTATATGTTTGGTGAAGTTAAAGTTAATAATTAATTTTATTTACGAATTTTTTATTCATATATCTTATCATCTTCGATTAAAATCTATTAAAATTTTGATTTTTAATCCCACAAAATAGAAGTTTAATAGCATTCAAAGTCAAAGAAATATATTTAGGAAAAATTGCAACATTTTACTCAATCTATTAACCCAATAATAAACGGGTTATCATTCTTTATTTTACATTTTTGTTTGCAGCTTATTATTTTCATAGAACCATAGTCTTCATCACGAGGTAGGGGTGATCACAGTTCAATTTGGCAATTCGTGCTATATTTTCAAATCAAATTATTTCATGTGATTAAAATTTTTTCAAACCAAACCAAGCCATTTTATTTTTCGAACCAAACCAAACAAAATCATAATTTGTGGGTTTGTTCGATTTTAATCCGCGGTTTAGTTATCGACATTATAGTAATATTTAATATAAATTAACATATAAGTTTAAATGAGAATTAATAATGTTAAATGTTAAATTACATCTATATTTACCATGAAATCAGTGAATAAATTATTTTTCAAAGTTGGTTGCTAAAAAATGTTAATGGAACAAATACAACTTTCTTCATTTTTATTTACCTTTTCTTGTTTGACTTTCAAATCATCACACAGCGATTGTAAAGGTAGATCACATTTTGCTATTATAGTTGGGTTAAAACTCTTTTCATTTTGGTAGTAAGATGTTAAATAAGGATTGAACATGACATACTTAAATGTACAAAGATTAATAGGGTTTAGGCTTATAGGGAATTAACAAATTTCATTCTCTAACTACTTTATAAAAATAGAAGGTAGTAGTAATAGTTAGGGAATTTTAACATTTTCACACAATCAATACGCTATGTCCTTCGTTCTTTCCAAACCACAAACAAATTCATTAATCATCTAGGCTCACGAACAATCATTTTTTTTTTATCCAAACTACAACTTAAAAGTGTATAATAAGTTAAAAAATAACAAATAAAAGAAAGAACAACGAAAAAATTGTTTGAATGAGAATCTAAAACTTATCAAAAGAGAAAAGAGAAAGAGACGATTCAAGTAAAAATTAGAATACTAATATGCAAAAGGCGACTAACAATTTATATTAGCAATGATTGAAAAGCATCACATGCTTGGGAAATGAAAATTTTTATTAGGATTTTTGAAGTTTTGGACACGATATGCTGTTGTAGTTTTGTTAAATTATGATTTGTATTGTGAAAATATATGTTTTGTTTTATTTCATATGATTTGGGAATAATTTTAATTTAGTTTAGATATCGGATGAAGACATGTATTGTGAACTTGTTAAACCATGAGCTAATAATAATGAACTTAATTTATTTTCTATGATTATTTCAATGGGCTAGTTGTAATTTGTATTGTTAAATTGGTATTTTTCTAGAAAAATAGAATCTGTGAAATTTATAAGTTAATAAAATTAATGTTTTAATTAAAAAATTTAAAAACGATTCGGTTCGATTTTTGTACAGTTTTGGAAATCAAAATTTAAACCAAACCATTTTGAAACAGTTTAATTCGATTTGAGGAAAAAAATTGCGAGTCCACGTGTACCCGAATCAACGTTTCAAATCAACGATTCCGATTAGATTTGCGGTTTTGCAATTTTTTGTGCAACCCTACCACGAGGCACATATTATGTTTATTTGGAGACAAAATTGTCATGAACCAGTCCCTTCTTAGTTTTTACCCTTCGTTGTAAAATATGATTAAATGCATTGTGAGTAACTCAAATGTGAGAGTAGAGGTACACATAGGTCACTCATATTCAATTTGGTGCAATCAAATCAATCAACATTGAATTTGATTGAGATCTAGTCACTCATAGTCAATTTGATGCAATCAATCCACCAAACTTTGATTTGCTTGCAAATTTTGTTATTGAATAAATTGCCGCGTCAATTTAACTATCGTTATATGATGATTTGGACACTAAAACTAATGTATGCCTACAACACATGTCGATATCTCACAACAATGCAAATCATCCATCTCAAATGATTTTCTTAAAATATCGTATGAACTAAGCACATATTTGCATTTAATCTTTTCACTATTTTTAACTTTCGAACGAACATATTTCATTAGTTAAATTGAAAGTAGTAGACAAAGTGACCTGATTTACAAACAAATTGATATTGGGTGAGTTGATTACACATATTGAAGATGAACAAAATTGAAAATGACTAAATATATATGTCAATTGAAGTTGGATGATATTTGACTGTACAAAATTAAAGACGAGTAGTCTTGATGCACCCTAATCAAGGTTGAATGACCTTTAGTGCATTTTGTTAAGGGATATAATTTCATATCGAACAAAAATGAAAATATAGACCAATTTATAAGATCTTGAACTACTCATTTTAATAAGGTTGATATTTTAAGATGGAACCTAAAGTCTTAAAATGGTATCGAGCCCATTAAGCTTGATTCAAAATGAACACATGAATTTCAAGATTGATCTGCTCAAACAAACCACTATCTTGTGAGGAGTATGTTAAGAGATATAATTTCACGTTGAATAAAGATGAAAATATAGACCAACTTCTAAGATTTTGAATTACTCCTTTTAATAAGATTGACTTTTTAAAATGAAATTTTAAATTTTTAACATTAACCCTTGTCAAATAACATAAAAGCCAAAAAAGAGATGGACAAACAAAATGACACAACTTTTTCCTAATATACAAAATACTTACCGCTATTAATTATTACGGCAATGCATCCCCTAATTTATTATTTACGGGAAATTTATTGCATTTTATTGGACAATAAATCAACTTGTGATTTAACTTCCAAATTTTTTTTTTTCAATAATCGAACTTTTTATTTAACATTGAATTTTCATAACTATTTTAGTTAAATTACTATCACATATATTACTCTTCACATGTGCTAGTAAATTTAATATTGATAAAATTGATGAAATATTGATTGAAAAATTATAAAAATTGTGGCTTCCATAAAATCTCCTCTCACGGTCCCATAAACATATGTTCGTTTTCATTTTCACACACTTTAAAAAAAATACAATTAATATAGTTGAAGACATAATTTTTTTTTATAATTTCTAATATATCCATGCATTAAATATGATTTAAATAGAAGTAATTCATATTTGTTGATAACAAGTCATATTAAAAAATTAATTACATTCTCAATAAGGAGTGATATATAATTTGGAGCAAATAAAAATAAAAAGATTTTTATGGAACGAGGAAGAAGTATGATTAACATTAATTATTTAACCATGACTAACTTTTTCAGTGCTTGTTTAATAGGAATTTTGATAATTAATTTTTTAACCGTTAGAGATAAAGTGAAATAATGAAATAACGATTAAAAAATTAATTTTAATTGGCTTTTAAACTGTAACAAATCATCTCTTAGTTAACTGATGTTTAAGAAAAAAAAAATCTTGACGTTAAATATTGTTCGAAAATAGATGCTAAAATGAATCGTGCCCGCATGACCTCTACAAGCAAGGGGAGCCTATTGTGATACCCACATTACCAGCACCTTCTCTCTCTCTCTCTCTCTCTCTCTCTCTCTCTCCCCATTGTTCCGTTCCTGCAATTCTCTACAATGCATTCCCACGCACACAGGAACAACAAGCAGAATTTCATGAGGAAACTCTGTCCAAATTTCTATCGTGAAGATGGATTGGAGACAGTGCTTGAGGTTCCCATTCCGGAGGAAATGTTCGCCAGTATGGGCAGCAATGTTGCACTCCGGTGGCAGAATATGGCCACGTGGATGAAGGCTCAAACGTCTGACAAATGGTCGTCGCCGATTATTGCTCGCCGTTACAATGAATTGAGTTTTCTTCTTTATTTTGTTGGGTCGCCTCTTATTCCTCTTCAAGTACAGCTTGATCATTCTATCAACCGTCCGATCAAACATTCTTCCATTGTAAGTATTTCTACCATTTTAAATCTCACAAGATGTATTGATTTTGTGAAACTATTTGCCTGTTATGGGGTATATGGCGTTTATGATGTATACTATTTATTCACTTCAAAATCAATTTGAAAGCACTCAGCTGAAAATTAATGGAACAAAGAAAAAAATCTGTCACGATTTGCTATCAAATGATATATTTCCCCCCTTTTTCTCTGTAAAAGTGTCAAGTATGATCCTCCAAGGCGCATGGAGAGAGAGAGATGGGACTTTGTAATACTAGATAGCATGCTAGAAATTAATACTAGTTAGCATTTCTTCACTCCACATCTGCATTTTGAGAAACTCCAGTGCTCTAGAACTCAATTGTGATCAAAAGAGTTCACTATCCACAATCTAGTGCCAAGTTTACTAGAAAATTTGCGTAAAAAGATGGTTCCACTCGCTTTTCCATTTTAGTGCATTTTTATGCAAGAATGGTCCATTATTTTCAGCCATTTTCTTCATATTTTAACAATGAAGACTTCATGGAGGTTACGGAGAATTAAGGGAGGTTTATAGTTTGAGTAAACTACTCCTCCAATGCAATATATAGGTTAGGGGTCGGGTGAGGCAACGTGGGTGATCCATGACTTAATCCAAGAGGACCTGATCTGAGGACCTCCAGTTGATGA